AATTCAACTGTATTGAGAAAATTAAAACTGAAATATTACGTTAACTCTTGAATTAAAGATGTCGTGGAACTGTAGGAACAGATGAGACTTCCTTTTAGCTCGAAAAAAAATGATGTTTAAACAAAAGTCGAGCAATCGGAGAGTGATAAACTGAGGAACTGCGGTTATGGAAATAATTCTGTGCTGCCAGAAGGAGTCGGTGAAAGTTTAAATTAGTTAACGATGTTGCATTGTAGATAGATAACAACGCCTCTCACCTCATAACATTGGCATGCGACAGTAAAATCCAATTTACTTTTAAACAAACATTTGCTTTGTATATGGTGTAAAAAAAATTTCTAAAAACAGGCGTTGAAGGCTTACATAAAAATCTATCAATGAAGAACGTACTTACAAATCTCTAAAGATTTACACTATTTTTATCTTTTAACAAGTTGATATTTCTTTTATTTATCTTGTTTACTAAATGATATCTCTATTTAGTATAGATAAAATCCCATTCAGCTATGTCCGTCTAAAAGTGACAGTAGTTCTAATAACAATAAGTGTAATAGCATATCAATAAATGAATCAATAAGTCAACGAGTTCCGAGAATGTTAAATCATTTAAACAACCCTTAGTGACATTTTTTGTCAAATATTCGCTGTGTCATCATGATTAGAAGAAAATCACTTTATAAATAGGTACAATAAAAAAAAGTTATCTTCGTTAAAAATTGCAGAAATTGAAAAATGATTGGTAAATGAAATTCTCTGTTGGCAGTAGAACACTTTCTTTTTTTCTCCTTATTATTATTCATATTTATTTAAGTTACCTGATGTTTAGAGAAATGCTAAAACTTGGATTATGAAATGATGAATATATATAAAAATTGATGTCAAGTGCCATAAACTTTAGTTAATATACTTTAGTTTAAAATCCTTTTTAAATTTTTTATTGACCAAATACAGTAAAAACACTCTTTGGGTTTTCTTTATCTATTGTTTATATATATATATTGAAAAATTTTGCAATCAAGATTATGAGAAAAAAATTGACATAAAAAAAAGTTGTTTTGTACTATTGGTCAGGTTGTATTTTCAAGTTGTTTCGTGTAACATAAATCCTGAACTATTTTGGCTAAAAACACTTTTTTATTTTTTATGACCAAAATCTAAAAATATTCTTTTGAGTGTTTTATAGTAAAAATATAACATTTTACATTCTAAAAAAGGAGGCCAAAAAATTTGTTTTTGTGCTGTAAAAAACATCTTGAAATAACTCGGCTAAAAATCACTTTTCTTTACTGATAAAAAAAACTCTTTATATTTTGTTTAAAAATGTGATATTTATTGTCATGAGAACAAAAATTGAGGTGGTACTTGCAAAAAATTGTTGAAATTTGTAAAAAAAATTAATAAAAATCTTTATATATACCCAAAATTTGTAAAGTTTAATCGCAGGGCTTTCACTTTTTTCTTTCTAAATGGCACCAAAATTAAGAAAGTTGACTCGTAAATAGAAAAAGTTATAGATAATAAGAACACATAAGCCACCTTCTCTTAATACGCCATTTTGATATATTATGCCGAATTTCAAAATTCTCCCCTCACTGAAGTTTTAATCCAAAAAATTCAGCAAAAAAAATATTTTAGTCTTTTTTTAGCTTGCAAAATATTTTCAGAAAAAACAGTTTAATGACGGCAACGACCATTGGTCCATTCATGGCACTAAAATTAAGAACGACCATTGGATGAAAGCTAATGTCATGAGCTAAGATAGTTCTTCATTTTCTTTTTATCAGCACGCATTTCAAAAAATTTTCAGAAAAATCTATTTCATGACGACAACGACCATTGGTCCATGCATGGCACCAAAATTAGGAACGACCATTGGATGAACGCTAATGTCATGAGTTCAAATAGTTCTTTATTTTCTTTTTATCAGCACGCATTTTGAAATTTCTTTTTTATAATTTACAAATTAAAGCGATTTTCATGATATTGAACATTCAATTGTTCATAAGTACTAACATTCTTGCAAATCGAATCGGTATTTGTTTTTTTATTCTTTTTTCAACAATACTATGAACAATATTACTGGGAATTATTTTATGGGTTTGGAATATTACGCAATAGTATAAATATTGCTTATAGGTTTAGTTTACCGTGAGTATAGTCATGTTATGTAAATGAATATTACAATAATCGGCAAAAAAAGAAGTAAGAAGCTTTTAAGGGAAAAAAAATATGCAACCGAAACGTTGTTTTGAAGAATATAAATCCTTAAATATTCACTACATACTGGTGGTGTATTGTTTTCTTTTTCTCATATATTATTATTGTTTATCGTAGACGACAGAAGATCCGCTTTAACCTCCTTAACTTCAACATAAAAATCAAGTTCCAAAATTAAAGAATCATCATACATTCTTCTTTTTTAATGTAGTGTTACGTTTGGGAACATTATATAAGATTCCAATTTCGTTCAATGGAACACTACGTTTATGAACGAAAAATGAGAAACTACCACATTCGTAAGTACAATACATCAATAAATCATATTCAAAAAAATTTTTCCATTTCGCCTTTTTTTGTGCTATGCATTTGATTGAAAAATAAATAATGAAAAAATTGTTAGTTTTAAGCCATTTCAAAAAATAATAATATTTTCTTGAATGATTAGAATGGAATGATAATTTGTTTTTGAGCTAGGCGGCAATATTTGAAGATTTGCTTGGCAGACTTTGGAATATGATATCTCCATTTCGAAAGAATTAATTAATTTATTTAAATTGCTTCTAAGTTTTGCAATTTTATTCATGACAAGAATTGTATATTATTTTGTAATCGTCAAAATTATTTGCTATGAAGAAGATCGATTCTAATTTTCAATTGTGTTGAGTGCTTATTTCGAAATTCGATTGCATTTATTATTATATTATTTTTCGATTGTATTATTATTCGATTGTATCATTACTTTAAAAATAGTTATTGTCTTAATTATGTTTACCTATTTATATTTAATTGTTTGAAATGGGCGAAATTTCTTTTAATTAAATCAAATTTATTTTAATGATTTCTTGAGTTAGTATACAAGCTTAATATTAGCTAAAAGTAAATATCGCCCATTTAAAGGTTCTAAGAGTGTAATAACGAAAATATTTATCTCTGAAACTCTTTCTCTTTTCAAATTTCAAATATTAAATTAAATTTGAGAGACAGCTTCCTTAATCATCAATTATCGTGATATTATTTCATATTTTGTGTTACCCTCCTAATGAGTTGAGGAAGGAAAAAATTGTTGCCAATATTCTAGCAATCTGAATGCATTACGTTCTGTACTGTTAGAAATTTATCGGAAAAATAGTAAAATGACAATTCATTTAATGGTTATTTCATCATATTCAAATAAAACAGTCAAATAACCGTAAATAAGTTGGTATTCAAACTGTAAACCGTGAGAAAACCGTTTATTAACTGCTTTCATCTATTACGGTTAAACAAACCGAATTTTATGTGTATTATATATATATATATATATATTTCTTTTTATTGCTAATGTCAGATTAAAAGACAACAGTAGACAGGAAAATAAACAATAAAATTATAACATGAAATAGAGATAACAGTAACAGAACTGAAACAACATACAATAAGTCTATCAATNGGTTCACCCATTCATGGCAACAGTTTCTCCTGCTAGGGATGGTGTTTACCAACAGGATAATGCACCATGTCCTAAGGGTCGAATCGTCGAGGAACATTCCAGCTACTTGCAAGTTATGTCTTGGCCCCCAAATTCATCTGATCTTAATCCAATAGAGCATTTGTGGTCCTACTTGGAAAAACCAAATTCGTGCTGCCACGCTACACCCTCGCAAGGTGAGGGAATTGCAGGACCAGTTGGTGAGCGCTTGGTACCAGATACCTCAGACTACCTATCAACACCTTGTGGAATCAATGCCATGGCGGGTGCTAGCAGTTTTGAGGGCTAAAGGTGGTCCTACATGTTATTAGCCGAGTGGTTATAATGTAATGGCTCTTACTTACTTATTTGGAAAACGGGTTGAATAATTTAATGACGAAAGATGTCGAGGTAATTAATTCGATGGTGATCGAACTTTATTACGCGGAAGTTCTTAAATACAGTTTAATTTGAGTAGCACTTAAGAAAAATATGTATAAGATTAGGAATTTTTTTAAACAACTGATAGTTCACCATTAAGGACAGAGGATGTGTTTAGTGGTTGGTCGTTGTTGTTGTGTCTATGCATATAGTGCTAGTGCAAAGATTAGAGTCCTCCAAAAGTCTTGATAACAAGAATTGTCCCAGGAGCTCTATGGCCATAGAGAATTTCGATGGGCGGGGGGGTGCTCCAAGTTGAAAGAGGGAGCCGATAATGGCCTGGCAGCAGTGGTTGGTCATATAAGGGTTAATAGTTGTTGCCCACAGTGGTTCTGAAAAACAGTTCAATCTGAGTATAACGAAAGAGAAATGAATATTAATTTCACTAATTACTTTGAATTAAACACAATTCACCATAGTCATTTTTTTCAGAGAAAAATGTTTGAGCCAAAATAATTAAAAAAGCTCTTAAGATTTTGGTCATCATGTGCACATCAATAATGAATTAATCTGCACTTTGCTTTGTATTTTTCAAAATTTACACAATTAATTAAAACCCTTATATTTAAGAGATAAAAAAACCTTACAATTATAGTGGTTTAATCATAAAAATAAATTTGTCGATTTCTTTTCCAGCGCTCCAAGCAATTTTAAAGAATGATTAATAATTGAATTAACTATTAATCATAAGCTTTATGATTAATAGTTGTACATAATAGTTAATAAAATGATTAATGAGTATTAAAATGGTCATAAAATGAATAATGGGTGTACACTACTGCTCGATCTTGTAAATGCTGCTTGATTTTAGACATGTATGTTAAAATTGTTATTATTTGTTTATCTTTTTATTTGTACATTTTTTTATTATTTATTTTTTTGTTTGTTTTAGAATCAAATGTGACAGATGAATTATGGTGTTAGATTTAACAACTATAGGAACAGATAATGCCTCAAATCTTTTTGACGTAAATGCTGAGGTAAGTAGCTTTAGGAAACACTTTTAATTCCATAATCTTTAATTTTTCTTTGTAGTTAGCCTCAATTTTTTACACTTTTTGCTGAAAAGTAATTAAAAAACTGAGATAAAAAGTGAAGTGAAACATAAATATTTTTATTTCGGAAAGAACTTATGAGGGAAGATTTTTATTTTAATGTTTAAAGTGGTAGCAAAAGTTATTATTTCGTCATTCTATCAATTCTTATTTTACTACCAATTTAAATATTGCAGAGAGTAGGAACTTCAGGGTTGGCAATTATGCAATTATTTAATGAAGTTTTTAGGTGCTGATGAAATTTAAACTAATTTCTGAAATAGTAATTTCAATACCACAAAAGAAAACGTTTCTAGAAAAACGCAAACATCAAACACATTCCAAACCTAATTACTGAACCAAAAGTATAAAATAATAAATAATTTTTTTCTCTACCAAATAGTAAATACCAAATTTTAAGCTACAATGAGAAACATGTTTCACAAAAGATTTAAAGGCAGTAAATATGGTATGCCATGCATAATATGGAACACGTGCATTGAACAAAACACAATGTTTTTGAAGAGGGCATAAAAATGTAGTAAACTTTGCAAATCGTATATATAATACTTGCAACAAGTGTAGAGAATAACAGGATAATATTCCATTTTGAAAACGTTTGAAAAGTAAAAGTGTAGCAGTGTGACATATTTATTTCATTAATATTAGGTCTACCAGAAAGTTCCGTCCGTGATAAACAAGCCCCATTACACTAGAACGAAAACGGTGGCTTTATAAAAAAAAGTAGAGGGCATTTAACTTTAAATGTACTTTAAATGTATTTATCATCAGATGTACACAGTGCGCAAAGTTGAAAAGATATCACCCCAAATAACTTTCGCTCTAATGATCGGATTTTCACGTACTAAGAGTAAAATTCTTGTGGTGAATTCAAAAATGCTAATTAATTAGTGCTAACTTCTAATTAAATTAGAAAATCAGGCACAAAAAGTACCTTTCCTGAATAAAAATATAGTTCACATAAATATTTCGATTTACATATTGGATATTTGGATTACCCGCAAAATTTTGAAAAGATTGAATCAAATTTTTTTCGGGGGGGGGGCGCAGAAAGCTATCTATATTTGGCGATAGTCCTGAACAACAACATGCTTTAATAAAACTTGACATTCATTAAATATAATATTTAATCCAAATCTCTTTACTAAATTAAGTATAAATTAGTAGACAACTTAAAAAGAAACATTGTATTTTATAACTAAAAGAAATAAAAAAAAGGAAACAATATCGTATCAAAACAATAAAAACTCATCAATGAAATTTGTGTTTCGCTTGTGTAAGTCGAATTCCTCGAAAGTTTACTACATTTAGGCATTAATCACTCTATTTAAATATTTTTTCTTTGTCACCCAATTATTTTTTTTTTTTTAATATTTAATGTCATTTTTCTCAGCTTTTACTATATAAAAACAATTGAAACAATAGATTTCATTATAGAAAAATACGCAGATTGATATAGTGTAGAACTTATTCAAAGCTTTTTCGTCCAGTATTAAATTAAATAATAAAAAATGATAAATAATTATTAAACATCCTTTTTTGAAAAAATATTTTCTTTGGATAAGTAAATCCCATGATGGGGTTTCAATTTTTAAAAAAGAAATTGCGCAAATTCGTTTTAAAGATATGACCAAAAATACAAAAAGTTAAATTTGCATTAAAGGAACCAAACGCTTAACAGCCATCCTGAATAAAGTATTAGGACCATACTTTCCGGATGCCCCACTATTTTGAGAGGCAGAAATGTTAAAAAATATATGTTTATTCAGAGAAAGTACATTCTGATTTTACAACTTAATTACTAGTTAGCTCTAAATTATTAGCATAATTGGAATCACCCCCAGGAACCATTAAGTTTGAGACTAAGTACTTGAAAATCCGATCATTAGAAACAAAGGTTATTGAGGGTGATATCTTCTTTTTTAATTTTGCGCACTATACTTCTTAGTTCTGTCCTATACTCGCATTACAAGTTTGAATTTGAATGCATACGCTCTTTTGGGACATATATGTTGTATCTTAAAGGGATTTAATTATAGACTATGTCAACCATCATCTATCAAAAGGTACCTCAAGATTGAATCGAGTTAACATGTCTTATATACTAGTCAATTGGTATTCAATATTTATAGTGGTAGTTACACCACATTACTCCCCTTCAAGAATTTCATCTGTGATAGAATTCGATGGACGCATACCACTAGTTGATTCATGCTGTTTATTTATTTATAACAATTTTGTTCGTTATATTTTCGTACCATTCTATATTTTTACAGCATTTCGCTCTTCTTTTTTTTTCATCTTAATTTTTGCCCAAATAGGAAATGGAGCGGTAAAGTTGCGCTGTTGTCGATGTGTAGAGTGCAAAAAACAGTCGATCTGTTCAGAAGGGCAGTTGTTGTGTGGCGTTAAAGTGAGGAGTTTCGTTTCCATCGCTCTAAAGACTGAGACGGTGTGATTCTTATACATGCTGTACCTGAAGGACAAACTGTCAACGCCGATTTCTATAGCACCATCTACGTCCGGCTATGCGGCGCAAACGTCCACGTTTATTGTGCAACAATCTTCCTATCGTATTGCATGACAACGCTCGTTGCCATGTCGCTAACAAAGTCACTCTCCTACTGCGACGGTGTCATTGGGAAATCCTGGAACACCCCCTCTACTCACCAGACATGAGTCCTTGTGACTTCGATCTGAAAGAACCCCTCCGAGGGCACCGATTTCATGATGTTTCATCTGTACTCCACGCAGTAGGGCGCTCGGTCGCTCACATCAACAATCAACATCTTCCCTACAACGGCTTCCCGACATTTGGCAAAAGGTTATAAGTAGAGCCCGGATTTTGATGACCTAAAAATTCTCAACTAATGCCCTTAAAAATGCAAAAATTGCGCAAAAATGCCTTAAATAAAGTAAAAATATTGAATTAAAAAAATGTTTTGCTCTTTAAAATTATTATGAGTCATTTAAAAAATATAAAGCAATGCAATACTTGTTCTACGTTCATTAAAGTTTGAAAAATATGTTTTATATCCTAAAATAACAAAAAAAGGAAAATATATTGACACCAAAATATTTTTATTTTGTATAGAAACTTTAATGGATATAACAACTTCCATCTCATAATATTACTAAATATCAGAATTACATTGGATTATTAAATGTTTTTTGATAATTTGAAATGTAAACGAGCGTCTCTTGTCTGAAAGTAAATTTTCATTCCTGCAGAAGCTTCTTTCAACGTCTACTGATGTTATAGGTGTGTACTTGAAAAGGACGGTCTCACTTACTGACAATTCTTCTTCAATTTGAAAAGATTTTGCTTCACCAGTTAATATCCTATAGATTTTCTTCATTGTTTGGAAGCCAGTGTAATAATGAAAATTGATTAAAAAAAATAATAAAAATTGGAAAAAATTAAAAAAAAAACATTAAAAAATGCATTAAAATGCAAAATTCACCCCAAAATTTAAAGAAAAATGCCCTATAAATCTAAAAAAAATGCTCTAAAAGACAAAAAATGTCCAGAAATGCAAAAAAATGCAAATGTCATCAAAATCCGGGCCTTAGTTATAAGCTTTGCTGGTGATTACATAGAAGGAATGTATTGCAATTGCACTTGTAATTTCATTAAAAATTGATTTATACCTATGTTGCCATTACTTAATTTACAACCCTCGTAGTATTTCGCTCATTACTTTTTTCCCCTTCAATATTGCTTATTGATCGGGAGACTTTTATTACTCCACTGGATTTTTTTTTCTTTGAGTATTATATTTTTAAGCAAATCAACTGTTTAATGTGGACCATCCATCAATGTTGGCAAGTTCATATCACGTTTGCAGGTCACCATTGTTGGAATTATAAATCGACTATGTCAACCTTTATCTTTCAAAAGGTACCTCAAGCTTGAATCAAGTTAACATGTCTTATATACTAGTCAATTGGTATCCAATATTTATGGTGGTAGTTACGCCACAATCACCTTAAGCTAAAACGTTACTAAGGAGTAAAAAGAGTAAATCCCCTACCACACTTTCTTTTTATAAAAGAACCTTCAGCATAACTGCTAAAGGCGACCTGTACTATCGCGGACAGAACTTTCCGGTAAACTAAAAAGATATTCACAGAAAAAATACTACGCTAAAAAATCAAAAGAATGCATTTTAATCAACTATCTACTTTCTTATTAATTTTATATAGAAAAGAATCTTAGCATTTTCATACGCTTCAAAATGTAGCTTTTTTAGAAATATTTTATCTAACTGTAATGAATTAAAGCAGAAATTTTTTTAATTAAAGAATATTTTTTAAAAAAAACTATTAATAACATTTTATTTAATCACATTTTTCTAGTTTGCCACATCCCGGAACAACTTAGGGGTTTTCACCTGTTTTCACGAGGGTGTTGGAAATCTTAAGGCTACAGTGAACACCCAACATCGTGAGAATCGCTCGAAAAATTAATTTTCTAATTTTGACCATTTTATATTAATTAAATGATATTAAAAAAAACATATTAATTGTTAAAAATCATAAGAATTTGTAAAACATTTGGACAATATTAGTGTTATTTATTGTTTTTTATTACAAAAAGTGTAAGTGTTTTGTGTAGTGTTACTTAAAACAAAAATGTTGCATCGAACTGGAAATTGAAATAGTTCCATGCGCTGTCATTTTGATGACTATTCCATGAAACTTTTTTGACACACTTTCTAGATCAATAAAAAAAACTTTTAAAGAAAAAATTTCAAAATAAGTTGCCACAATATATTGTCATTTCAATGTTCCAAAACGTTCACGATTTTCATGTTCTTTTTTTGTTTTTTTTTCCCGAAACTTTCCCGTTTTTTACTCTGTATGGAAATAAGTAGAAAAATATGTAAATTTTTTCCCTACAATTTGAAGAGAAATGTAAATGGAATTGAAATTAAGAAATGATCTTTGAATTTAAGGAAAAATTTAGCGGAAGGCGCTTATTAAGGCGCCTTCAAAATAAAAAAACTTCAAAAACTTCAAACTAAATCGGCAATTTTTTGAAAAAAATTTAAATTTTTCATGTCATAGCATGTATGAAATTATTATTTTTTTAATGTTCTCTCTCTGAATACAAACAATCCCTGAAAGTTACAGCAATGTAACATTACTTTTTAAGAAAAACTTATTAAGAGTTCACTGTAGCCTTAAAAGTTTTATTTTAAATTTTTTAGATCCTTTTACTTCCTTCAGCATATAAATACATTTTGGTAAATAGAAATTATCAAAAACAATTTACCCTTCCACTATTTGGGAACAATAGTATATTTTGGATTCAATTCTTCATGTTATATGCACTAATATAGCTAAGTTTTAATTTTATTAGTATTTTTGTTATATGTACTAAATATTCCCAACTTATACAAAATACTTCTCTATTGAAATAAAATTAGCACTATAATTACTTTTTTCATTTAATTTTCGGACATTAGATTACCTTAAATAATAAATTTATTAGAAGAAATTATCGGCGTTGCATACGCTACATGATTTGGACAATCCTATATTTCATGTGTAAGAAAATGACGTTTTATTAAAAAACAATAAATATAAAAAATATACATAATACAAATATAAGCCATGATGGCTTAGGGAAATGAACACTAGCTTTCCAATCAGGTGTCCCAGGTTCGATAACCGGCGTTGGCTGGTGGATACAAATTCTGCTCTCTGTTCGCACCTACCACAGTGCTGACGTAAAAATATCCTCAATATGGACCATGGGCTATAATTCCTTGGCCGTCAGGTTAATGATGGGAGGTTATCGTGATTTTCATCTTCATGTAACGCAAATGCAGGATAGTTCCATCAAAAAGACCTCTACAAATTTTATTTTGTCAAAATGTTTGAACCAGGAGTTCCATTGTTTTTGTCTTCTGGGATAGGTTCGCAATTACTAGACTACGGCATTGAACATTGATAGTTGTAAACTCAGAATTGGGTTGGCTGCTCAACGCCGGTTATGAAATAAGATAATACAGATGCCGAAATATAAAAATATTTAAACAATAAAAAATATATAAACATAATTGATAAAGTATTTTAAGAATGTATAAGCTAGTTTAAAGTACCTACTTTAAACAAATTTCTGTAAAAATAACGACTCGTTCCCGTACGTTACTTTTATTACATGCATCAAAATTTCCTTTTCAAAAACTTTTTTACACATAAAATGCAACAATTTATCCATTGCTTCAATATATTGAGGATATAACCAAGGAACCTCTCTATTTGAACTTCATTCTCGTATTTTAAATAGTAAATATCTGGACACTGATTAAAATTATTTTTTTTTTGCTACATTGGCTCAATTAACATTATTAATGTCCAAAATTGTCCATTTTGATTAGAAAATTTTTTTAATGTATTTATCGAAAACTTTTTCGTAATTGTAAGTTAATTCCTGCCCCTAAACAGAAATATAAATTACCCTGAAATTATTATTGTTAATTAAATTTAAGTTTCTTTGCTTTGAGGAAGCTTTAAGTTAATATCTGTGTTATGATCCCACCTTCTGAAAACTTCCCCTAAACAAGTGAGATATTGCTTTTTTTTTTCCTTTTTTTTTCACCCGAAATTGAATGAGAGTAAATTGCGACAATATGATAAATAATTTAAGAGAAACGAGTCAAAAAGATTTCTATACATAAAAATGAAACTCTGCGAAACTTCTTAACTTTTAGTCCCATAGACTCGTGTTAGTCTTTAAGAACTATACTTTTAATGATTTTTCCAGGGATTTTCTATAGCTGTAACATTGCTCGCTACATTGGACATAACCATTAGATTACGAGATTCAAATTTCATTGCTACCAATATGATTCGTGATGAAATCAAAATTGATTACAGATTTGACTAAAATTGCAAGAAATGCTGACTAATAAAATTCAAAATTTTATTTAAAAAAAATTTTAAATTCTCAACCTTTTATTGCGCATTTTTTTTCAGTGTAGTATTGAAAATGATGCAAGAATGTTTTTGTTTTAAGTATGAATAATTTGAATCTTAAGTTATAGTGGTCGTTACGATTGACTAATTAAATTGGTAATAAACAATTAAAAGTGAATTGAATTTCTACCACTTCTTACATTTATAATAGCCTGTGGCATAACTGTGATTGCCAATAGAAATGGCTTTAGTAATTTTTGTTACAGCTACTTTAAACCGGTTATAGTATTCGTCTGTAATATAAAAATAACGTTACTTTTTTCCAAAAAAACTGTTTAATATGTTGGACGAAATTGCGATGCAAGTGTTCCATCAAAAGCTCTTTTTTAGCTATCTCTTATGGATGTTTGGCGAGTTTTAATAATAGAAAACAAATAGAAAAAGAGGAAATGAAAGGCATATCTCATTCTATCAAAGTATTAAATGAGTGTTTAAGAAAGAATTCGTGTTTAAGTCATTATTTATGAGTCTAGCAATGTAAAGCCAGCGGTGGCGAATTAGATGATCACGTGGAATTGAATACACGTTTTAGATGGTGGTTCGGTTTCCACCAATAATGATTTGGAAAATTTCTGCTATAGATGTTCCTTTTGTATTACTTCAGTTATTTTTTCTCAGAATAACTAGGATTCAATAAAAAAAATTTCAATGTCCAGACGAATTACACTTTTTTTTTCTGATAAAATAATAACCAAATTTCTTTCATAGAAAGTTTTGTTATGTCCGTATAAGTGACATCCAAAAATGATGTCCTTATCTTATATTTTTTCATTACAATCTTAGAATTTTTCTTTATTTTAAATTATATATATTTTATTTTATTATAACCGTCGTTGAACAGCCGACCCAATTTTATGGGTTTACGACTACTAATGTTCAACTCCGTAGCTTTGTAATTTTGAACCCAATCCAAAAGACAAGAGAACTCCAGGATCGAATATTGGTAGAAATTTCCCTTCGTGGAGAACTTGTTGATGGAGCTAACCCGCATTTGCTTTACATGGAGAGGAAGACCACGAGAACCTCCCACGGTTAGCCTGACGGCAAGGGGACTCTAACCCATGAACCGTCTACCACTGAGGATATTTCACGTCAGCACTGTGGTCGGTGCAAGCTGGATGCGGAATTCGTATCGACTGGGATTCGAACCCGGTTAGCTGTATTGTAAGGCGAACGCTCTATCCTCTGAACCATCGCGGCTCTGAATTACTATTTTCGATGTACTATCCGCAAAATAAAAAAATAATACCACCCTGAATAACTCTTTGTCTAACGATCTGATCTTTATGTTTTTGCACTCAATCTTAATGGTTCAAGGGGGTGACCTCAAATATGCTAATTAGTGTAACCACCATTAATTAATATGCTAATTAATTATAATTTGTGTGATATTTTAAGTTGAGAAATCAGACACGAAAACGTGTTTACTCAGAACAAACATGCCTTTTTTTTGATGGATTCTGATTTCTGACCCCCAAAATATTGGAGGTAGCCGCAATCTGGGAAATATAGTCTTAACTGTTTGGTCCGCAGAGCGATTCAAAGTTTTGCACCTTAATGTTAATTTTACTTTTTGCGTATTTCGCCATATGTCGAGAAAAGTTTAAGCGAATTGAAAAATTTTCGCATACAGTTATAAAATTCATTTATCCAAAGACTATTTATCATTTTTTATTATGTAAAAATTATTTTTAGTAAATATTTGTTATTTTTCATTATTATTTTTAATAATAGTCAAGAAGATTTGAAATGTAAGGTATACAACTTTTTATATTATTTTGAAAAATGCAATTTATAAATGGAAAAATCACAATTTGGGCGAAATCAATCGAATAGTTCCTGACAAATTTGAAAAAATCGTATTTTTAAAATTTGACTTCTCAGGCCGATTTCGCTCAAACTTTGCATTTCGCCATGCAAAATTGCTTTCTTTATAATGATGTACAAAAATTGCATACCTTACAATTCAAAATTATACCGGCTATTAGTTGAATAAAATAATAAACATTTACTAAAAGCTATTTTTCGCATCTTAGGATAAACAAATTTTATAATTGCTTAGTAAACATAATTTTGCTTAGTATTGTAGCGTATCTACCACTACAAAATTACAATTACAATTCACTAGTATATAAGGCATGTTAACTCGACTGTACGTCGGGGTACCTTTTCATAGATGACGGTTGACATGGTCTTATACTCCTCTCCCCACAGTATAATCATTTTTTATTAGCATTCAAGAATAGAGATATATTAGGTGAGTTGACAACCGTAATTTAATATACCAATCAGGCTGATATATTAAATACAAATTGTGCATTCATCATATCGTGCGTGAAGCTGATTGTTTAGCTCTAAATCATTTAACAAATTACTTTAACGGTAATGTAAATATTCACCGCCATTATATAAGGTAGTATCATAAAATAACGTTCTGATAAAGAAAAAGCTCTTTAACTTAAAACAATCAAAATTAAAAATGAAATAAATAACAAAGTTAAATAAAAAAATTAATATTACAGGTAAATACCATAAGATTTCGGCTACAAAAATATTTTATTGGAGAACAACAAATTTATGAATTTCATTATTTTTATGCTGATGACAACCGAAAATTTTGAAATTAATGTAGAAAACTGAATCCTACCGTGTGATCTTCCGATCAATAAAAATGTTCTAACAATAATGGAAAACAACGAGTTCATCATTAGATACTTTATATAAACTACACAATTAGCTTAATAAATGCTATCCATCATTTGATAAGTTAATGAGTTTTTTAAAATATTGTAAGAAATTTAATTTTCAGAAAATTTCATTTTATTTATCCTTATGTATGTTCAAAATCGCTAAACTGTATATTTTGTAATTTTATTTTTAATGTAGTTTTTTTTTTCTGTGTAAATCTAGTGCTCTGGAATTCATAACATCAACAGCAGCTTACAGTGTTTATACGCTTTAACTTCAATAGATTGTACAGAAAAGATAGAATATATAGATTACAACTATTTCGCATTCTGTTACTTTGGACTGAAACTACTAGTTCCAGCAACAACGATTTTAGTAAGTAAGCACTGTTTAAATCAAATTATAAATAACAGGGTTCCCACGGGCCTTGAAAAAAATACAATAGGGGTAGTCGATATACGTAATAGCTAATTCGAATCTCATTCATTTAGATATCAATTTAACCCTTTCCGGAAAAACAAATTTTGATTGAAAATTTTAGTCAGGTAAAACATAAGAAAGTGTGACCTTAGACAGTTCCTTCCATATGAAGCAGCATACTTATGCTCCCTATTGTGTAAATAATAGTGGTTGATAAACGTTTAAAAGCTGTTAGTTTTATATTTCTGGTGGTTTATAAGACATGTTGAATTATTGTAGTCAGACTGTGTGCACCAGACGCTAATTTACAGTCCAGCAGCTTTTAACGACTCGTTCTCTTTTCTGGATATCTTTCTCTTAGTAGTAGTTGGTTGTAATAATAATGCAAGCTTTTATTTCTTTTGAAATTTGCTATATGAACTAAAAAAGAGAATCAGGGATGAAGTCTTTTTTCAGTTAAGAGAATGCCAAACAGGAGAGCGGGTCGTTAAACGACGCTGGATTGGAAAATCGCGCACCGTAAGGGTTAACTTGTAAGTTATCAATACTTTACATCACCCAAAACACTGATGGAAAATGTTTTTGCTAGTAGTTTTCTTATCTTTCTTCTCGGTTAGTAACAGATTTGAAATTACCAATCATTTTTTATTTCTCAATAAATGATTTTCTGAAAGAAGAGGGAAAGTTAATATTTGGCATCATCATCATGAAATTTATAATTTTCGTTCCGAAACTAGAAAACTATAAACATTTTAATGAAATACAAATAAGGGTTTCTACGATGTGAGAAAAATAAATTTTGGTGACAAATAAAAAATCTAATAGTGGTAGTAGAATTTTTTTATTTATCACCAATTTTTTGTTGTTGATTTTTATTTACTTGTCACAAGAATTTCTTTATTTATCACCACACTTTGATGATGATCGAAATTTTATACGTTTCAATTTCATTTTAAATTGAAGAATTCAAATTGTCAGTTTTCATATTTAGTACATAATTATTGACAGATACAAATTTGTAAAAATAACGGTGCCTAACACTTTATAATTTTTCAGGTCGCAATATCCTTGAGAAAAAAATTTTATTGACTATTTGCGTTTTAAACAGCGGCATATTAAAGGACAATTATTATATAGGAATGCATAATCAATTCTTAAGTAATGCATTAAACAGAGTGTTATTCATAGCAAAAGATATTCTGGCGATTTTTTTTTTACAATTGTATAATGTTACAAGGAGATCAGTCATAGATGTTGTGATTCAGTAACGACCCTTCTTTCTTTATTTCGAATAAAATACAGTAGAGTCCCAATTATCCGAGTTTCCGCTATAACGGAGCTGTCAAATATTTCAAGGATTTATTTTGCTCTAGTTTATTGTTCATTTTTAAAACTACAGCCGAAAAAAAATCTGAATTTTATCTTACAAACACCTAGGAAAACGAATTAGATATGTAGAACAACAAGAAGAGGAGAAACCAGCCTTCCTGTTATCCCTAAAAAAATGGCGAAACATTGCTACAGAAAAGAGTCAAAGTAATGTAAAACAAAAAACGATTAAGGATTTTTTTAAGTGAAAAACTCTTCAATTCTTGCAATTCTTTTTAAGTGTTTTTAAGTAAGCTTTTTAATTAAAATATGAATTATATGTGTTTTACTCATATAAATTTTGTATTTGTTAAATATTTTACATTTATACCTACTCTTTATCTTTCCTTTCTTACACTTTTCGCTTTAACCCTTAAACTTGTGCGCTCGAGTTGATTCGAGCGCGCTAAACAGGTCAAATTGTGCACACTCGAGATAATTCAAGCGCCGTTGTATTTTATGCTGCTATAATTTTTCACACTCGAATATAATCGAAAATTGAAAATAACAATGTGAAAGCTAAGAAAAAAAAATCGTTTTATTAATATTTATGATTTACATAGGATTGTAAGCTATAACACTTATTTATTCAAGAATAAAATATACAGAGATGCCAACTTGCTCCGGACAGTAAATGTATATTTTAAAGTGGTAGTTTATAAATTGTGATTCTTGGTTTAATAAATTCAATTCAGTAGATTTTTATCCACCACTAATTCATAGACTTATAAAACTTTATAGTACTTATGTCATGCTATACCTCTTAAAATGCAAGCAAAAATAGTTAAATATTTGCAAAATTTACTTTGTAGTTACTGACCGTTTTTTTAATTATTTCGGCGTGTCCGGAGTAGTTGGCATCTCTGAATATAACCTTTTTCCATGGAACAAAAGCGCAGTATATCAAAATTGTCCACCAAAAGAAAATACAATGCTCTAAAGTGTGTTTTTTACATGAAAAAATTGATTTTTTTTTTGACCGGTTTTTTTTTTCAAAAAATCTGTGCGTTAAGGGGTTAGCCGAGTTTTTCAATCATCCGAGTAAGCCATGGTCCACATTAACTCAGATAATCGGGACTCTACTATTATTTTAATCTATAACAACTATTATTACATCGTTGTTAGCGTAGGACAAAATCGCTATTGCTGTCGCACAGAAGCTCTAAAGAAGTTTAAAATTTCTAGATGTCAGCTTAGTTATGGAGTGAAAAATATCCCGACAGTTAGGAAATTTAAATAATGCAATAGCAATGTGGGCACTGAAGCGACAATTTGGCAATTTTTAGACACCAAACACAGATGCAACCGGTGTTTGTAGATCCCTACTTTTACGCATTTGTAAATAAACTATATAAATTAAAGTTTTAAAATCCCCATTATTAAAAAAAATATAGATTAATACAATTAAGACTGAAATATGCTAAATCTAGTTGCTGTTTATCACTGTTTGTGTTTTGTGCTTTAATGTTTCTTTTTTTTTTTTTTAGAACTATCATTTTTTTTTAACTTAACTTTTTTCATCATTAACTGACTCAATTAATACTTTTCTTTTAGGTATTATGGCTTGCCATGCTTTTTATTTCCCTCGGTATCACTTCAAATTATTTGTAAGTACAATTTTAATTATTTTAAATCAAATTCCTTCCAATGTGTCAACATCTTACTAACAATTTTTATAAATTTCTTGCATAGTTTATGTCCCGCCTTGTTCGCCATATCGAATCATCTAGGTCTCTCACAAAATGTTGCTGTATCCTTTTTGATTGGTCTAAAAAGATAATTTATATTATTCTTACCATTAAAAGTGGAATATGATAAATATATTTTTATTTTATAATCGCATTTCACTAACTGAGAAACAGTCTTAATGGTTTATAGAGTGGGTATTAATAAACATACATAAGGTCTCAACATTGCATAGCTGATATCAATTCGTTGAGAAATATTTCCATATGTGCCAGACTGTTTGAAACCCATAAAAGAGGAAAAATTGGTAGTTAAATTAAATCATGTGTAAATTTCTAGAAAAGTAGAGTGAAAACCTTTACTGCTTTAAATTACTGTTTTTAGTTACGGTTACAGTTTTATTTGAGGAATTTGCAATTTATTCTTAATTTTAAATAGATATATACCAAAAAGGGAAATGGTAAGTTAAAAAATAGAATGTGAAGGGAAATGGGTAAGGTCTTATTTAAATTTGGCACTTTAAAAATAAAATTCCGTTAGATGAAAGTGTATTAAATGATTAAACATGTCGAAATGTTATTTTCTTCGGAATATTATCTCAATACGACACTAATAATTCTTACATTTGAACACGTAAGTATACACCCACCGGCATTTATTGATCAGCTTTCGATGGCGAGATTGCGGCCATTTACCAGGCCCTGTTACAACTTTGGCCGCGTTTAGACTCCTTCTTTAAAGTTGTAATATTATCTGACTTAAAGGCTGCACTTCAAGCAATTAATGCTCCCAGCCGCTCTCGAATTTTAACCATCGACAATCGCTCAAATCTCCTCAAATGGTTTGCCAGTAATAACAAGATAGTGGCTCTCCAGTGGATTCCGGCCCACTGTGGAATCCAGGGAAACGAGGCGGCCGATCTCCTGGCAAAAAGGGAGGCCTCTGTCCTACAGAGATCTAATTCCAGACTTCCTTTCTATAATATCAAAAGTCTCATAAAGAACATCTCCAGGGCCTCTTTTCACGAGGAACTCAAAAATCGTAATTCCAATGAACTATGGCTTAAACAGATTCTCAATGTCTCTCAGTGGCCTAGGATGAAATCTGTCGCCATGTTTCGTCTGATAACTGGCCACGATTGCCTGAAAAAACATCTATGTCGCATCAATGTGGTTCATGATCCCTTTTGTACATTGTGTGAACTCCACGAGGCAATGGACTTGTCTCACATGTCAAGGCGCCCTGCTCTTCCTCGAAAATTTATCTGGGAATGCTACCGGAGTGCTCGCTCCTATTTATAGATTAATTGTTTTCTTTTTGATATTCAATTGTCTTTTAATGTGCCATTGGAAATAAATAAATATATATATANGTTGCATTTTCTACAAACAGCAGTTTATATATATATATATATATATATATATGTAACGGAAAGCTTAGTTAAATTCACCTGGTAAATGGCTAAATGGAAAAAGTTGCTACAGCTCTAACGTTAGAGCGAAAAAATCAGATTTTAAGATGAAAATTGAATCAGATGTTACTTTTTATTCTTTAAGTTAATGCTAATGTGAAGCGTTATACTTAGGAAAAGCAGTAAAAAAAATTTGCGCTTTAACTAAATTAACAATGGATAACGTAACTAACACTTCAGTTCTACGAAGTATTACAAATGCATAATTTCATATTCTTTATATGACTACTTACATTATTAATATATTTTAATGGATAAAGAAATTTCTCTCCCTGAAATAAATTTAAAAAAAAAAATTTAATAATTTAGTTACTAGTTTCTATCTTTTTAGAAAAAAAAGTATGCGAGAAAGTATGAAAGTTTTGGTTATTAATTGATTAAATATAATTCGTAGAGCATTGTATTTCCTATTAATTAAAGCATCTTCAAGGTATTAAAGTATTCATAATAATTTTATTATGATAGTCGAAGATTAGAATATATAATCATAAAAATTGTTAAAAATGCATTGGCATGCTAGAAACGTACTATTTTTATGTTTTACTTATCAAAATTGAAATATTCGTTGTTAAATTACCTTGGGAATTCTCCGCTTTTTTTTTCGTTCGAATGTTTTGTTATTCTTCCCAATTTTTCACAGCGTAACATTTCAAATTCTGAAGATAAAAAAGCACACAGTTCAAAAAAAATAGATCTTTATTTCAGTTATTCTTAATATATTGATCACGTAGCAGACAGTGAAAAAAGTTTATATTTTTCTTGATTTTAAATTTCATTTTCTAATCTTTTATTCAAAGAAGATACCACCTTTCTTTAAGAGAAATTCCTTTTTTCAATATTCCATTTTTTCATTCCAATGTAGCAAATAAAAGATTAAAATTCATTCACCTTTTTATAGAACTGGGTTTTTTTTGTAAAAAATGTAAAAAAATCCTCTAATAGTTAATTTTTTTAATCGTAATTAAGAATAATCTTGGGAAGTTTATCATCAAGAAATATTTAAAAGCTATTATTTAAGCTTTGCTTAAATTTTATTTTATTTTTTTTTAAAAAAATAAAATTGTATTTTATTTTTTTACAAAATTTAATCATTAAGTAGATTTGTAACAATTTTTCTACCAAATGTAATAATGAAGTAGCCCTTTCAGAGAATTTTTCTTAACAATTTAATAATCAAGTAGGTTCTTCATACATTTTTTCTGCACAATTTTATATTCAAGGCTCTTTGAAAATAATCTAAGGCTCTCAGGGGTTAAACAAAATTTATATAGAAAAAAAAGCTTTTTTAAAAACAATATATGTTATTATACATTCTTTTGCACTACAATTAGAACTATTTTTCTAGCTACATATTTTTCTAGCTACATTCGTATAATAAGCTATAACTTTTTAAATTTGTATAAAAAATCAATGACCATTGATATATTCTACAACAGTGTTTCCCAAAGTGTGGTACGCGTACCCCCAGGGGTACGGGAACTGTTTAGCTGGGGTACGCGTTCTTATACGAAATATCTTGCAACAAACAGAAATTCAAAACATTTTATTTAAAAACAAAGCTAGCCATGAAAATTTACGATTACGTATTTTTCTATTGGCTATTTTTTGCAGAGTTAACAGTTAATAATTAGCGGTGTCAACAGCTAGTTGCGATTTTTAACTTTTGTGCGATTTTTTTATAGTTAAAAAATGCATTCATTTTTTTATTAGTGGTACACAGCGTTACGAAAAATTTAGAAAGGGTACACAAAAGTCAAAAGTTTGGGAAACACTGTTCTACAAGCATTTAATTTCTGTTTGGTTTAACTCATTGATTTCCGATACCTTAGTTTGTAGTTAAAAAAAGAGTATTTTAAAAAACAATTGAACCTTGATATAGATTTCTGCTGCCTACAACTCTTTATTTTTATATCATTAATATATTGTTGTTGCTACAAATCTATCGTTTCTTTCAAGTAAATATTAATATGATATGAAAGGGTTACCATAGATCGCTTTCACCACCGTTTACAAGAGTAATAATAACTTGCTTTAAAAACACACTTTACACTAATGTATCAAATGTTCAAATATCAGAACATGTTCTTGCATCGATCAATCTATATATCTATACCGTTGGCTAATTTGAAAATCAGACACTTTGCAAAATTCCGAAGGCACTTTTCAATGCACTCGTTGCAATTAGCCTAACTAATGATGTCGGTAATTTGCAAAGAGCTGGACTTTTCATTTAGCCTACGACATATATATCTATGTCGATTACATGAAAGTTGTCCGGATAGTGCTTAAATTATAAGTCCTTAGCAATATTTAGGGAGTAACTCTTCTCGCTTTTGGCAATGGGTCTCCTGACATCTTCTCATCTGTAGCAGGTTTCCATAAGGCTTCAGCTGAATTAGCTATATCCAGTCTTGTTGGTAAGTAACATATTTTCCTCAAGTACTCATATTTTTTTCCATGCTTACAAACCAGCTACTATATGATTTCCATAAGAACTTCGAAAGATATTTCCCACTTGTAGTCAAGGTTATAGTACATTAAACTATTGCACTCCATTGACACCTATGAGGTAGGGTTACGACGGACGATTAAGAATGCAAAAACGTGGTGATTATTGAAATTCAAGATTTTATTATAGGAGATCAAAATTTGAAACTTTTTCAGGCATATGTTTTCAGTTTACTATTGAAAATAAATGCAAAGAATGCTTTTGCTATAAATAGGAATAACTCATAGTAGCTGCGAGTGAATAATTAAAGAGATTATAAATAAATAAAAATAAACAGAGTTTAATAGCGAATGAGAATGAATAGATATTTAATAGACTTTTAATAGCGAATGAATAGAGTTTTTGCATTTTTAGTCACATGTGGCATCCCTGATAAGTGTCCCCACTGATAAGCGTCGCCACCTGACAAAAATCACCTATGAAATTTAAAATGTTTGTACCTTTATATTTAGTTACCTAAAGGCTGCACATCAGGCAATTAATGCTCCCAGCCACTCTCGAACTTTAACCATCGATAATTGCTGAAATCTTCTCAAATGGCTTGCAAGTAATGATAGTGGCTCTCCAGTGGATTCCGGCCCACTGTGGAATCCAGGGGTACGAGGCAGCCGATCTCCTGGCAAAAAAGAGAGCCTCTGTCCTACAGAGATCTAATTCCAGACTCCCTTTCTATAATATCAAAAGTCTCATAAAGAACATCTTCAGGGTCTCTTTTCACGAGGAACTCAAAAATCGTAATTCCAGAAAACCATGACTTAAACAGATTCTCAATGTCCCTCATTGGCCTAGGATGAAATCTGTCGCCATGTTTCGTCTGATGACTGACCACGATTGCCTGAGAAAACATCTATGTCGCATCAGCGAGGTTCATGATCCCTTTAGTACATTGCGTGACCTCCACGAGGTAATGGACTTGTCTCACCTGTCTAGGTGCCCTGCTCTCCCTCGGAAATCTATCTGCGAACGCTACTGGATTGTTTGCTCTTATTTATGGATTTATTGCTATCTTTTTGATGTTCAATTGTCCTTTAATGTGCCATTGGAAATTTAAAAAAAGAATAATAATATATTTAGTTACCAGATCATTCTTAATTATAAGTTGTTTTTTAGCAATATTGCATTACAAATGTTAAATTAATCTTAGTTTTATCTTAGTGAATTATTAGTAATTGATTTAAAATACTCATATTGTTTTTACAATTTCAACCTTCAATCTGTTAATGTATCAAGCAAGGTGTTTGACCTCTTGTATAGCTACCACAATGTTGCTAAATTCAATATGTTTGTAACTCAATGTATTAATATTTCATGATGTATGGTATAGTTACTGGATTTGTACGCTAATATAGTTCAACCAGACAAGGTATTAATGTAGGATCAAATTCGTTCGAGATTATGGCTCAGCGTGCTGCAGAATTTCAGTATATTTTAGGATATTTTATTGAGTGTAATACATTATCAACCCATGTATTAATAGTTCTGTGTATGTCTGTTGTGAAGGTGCTGGAATGTTCGTAACATGTGTTGTAGCTGGTTCAGTATTCATGACCCAATCGTTCAGTCTCATGATCCGTCCATTCCTTAGGGATATAGCATTTTACATTTTGGCCATAAGCTGGACGTTCGCCCTCTTTTTTACGAACAAATCATACTTGTATCATGGCATTGGTAAGTTTTTTTTCGTTTTGCTAATATACATTCTGAAATTTCTTTTAAGTTTAAGAAAAAATTAAAACTTACCTTTTATCCCTACAGTCACACTTGTTGCAATTTCCAGTGCATGAGGAAAGATTAAAAATGATACTGCCATCACTTTTAATCTCTTCAATGTTTTTATAAAATATCAAATAAAAATAGTCTAATACCCTAACTCCCCTAGAACATTTATTACAACACACCACCTACTATATATAACGTTTTTGAACTTGTACATTTTGAAATAAATAGGATAAAAAAATTTTAATAAAAGTCTGTAGCTTTAGAAGCAAAACTAAGGACCTGTTCAGAAACATACGAAGAAACAGCTCATAATAGGAAAGCGCCCCTTGTGAAGTACGGTGACATTTCTGGGCATGGGTTTCTATGCAATAGTTTTCTATACTTTTCGATAAAAAATAGAAAAAAAATGTAATTTTAAAAAAATCTATAGCTTTAGCAGGAAAACTAATTTCAGATTTTAAATCCCCTAACTCGAATTAGGCAAGGCCGAGTATTTGTATGAATGCAACAGAAAATGTGTTTCTTAATGAAATAAATACACAAATTATTATAATGATATGCCCCTTTTCACATTTTTTTTATTTTGTTTAAAACTGCTCAAACATGACTAAAAGACAGAAGGAAAGAAAAAATTTACCTTTTTGTCACCAATTTTATCATGTTTTCTCTTTATTACTTAACTGTTCAATAAGCTTTTTTCCCCAATATTTTAGGTTTTGTCGTTCTTTATCTTGTGTACATAATCGTCGTGTTGGGAAGTCGTTTCATATACGTAAGCATACAAAAGAAAAAAGAAAATAGCGTAAAAGAAAAAAACGTGGAAAAAACTGGAAAGAAAAAAGACATTGTTCCCGACAGTAAGTGACTTTCTTTGAAACATAAAATAATTAGAAAATTTCAGAAATCACTAGTTTAAGTTGCAAACAATGCTGAACTTTCAAACTTTATTTGAAATAAATCTAAATGGTAAAAAAAAATGCTGAAAATTTTTTATTTCGTTTTGCAGGATCCGAAATTCCAAAAGTAACCGTAACTGTTGAAGGAATAACGTATGACAATGATCCGGAAGCAACAGCAGTAGTTTTAAAAGGTAAGCATCTTTATTTTATTTCATTACGAGCTGAATTCCCGTTCTTCGTACGAGCGAGGAGAAAAGATAAATAAACAATAAATTAGTTTCAAATAAAACTTAAATCATGCACATTCCGGTGAGACATATAATAAAACAATAAATAAAGCTAAATTAATTCCAATTTATTATAGTAGATTTACTTAATTATTGCATTTTTTACATTACTAAGAAATGATTTGTGTGTGCAACAAGTATTTGTAAAATTGTGTATAACAAATTTTTTTGTGAGTTCAACAAATTTTCGCAAATTGAAAAAGAGATTTTTCTAATGTTGAAAGCCAGTACCAAATTTTTTGTCCCACAAACGATTGAAAATTTTTCGTGAACTTCGCAAAAGAAAAACATTCAAAGGAACGGTCTTATGCATTTTAATTTTTTCAATAAACAACAAAATATTTATAGCAAAAAAAGAAACACTTCAATTATTTAGTTATTTTAAACAATTATATTTCAATAAGTTTGCGAAACTGAATAATTAACATACCATATACGTAACAGGTCGGTCTAATCATTAATACATTATTATCATTAGTTTATTAAATATTAGTAGTAAATAGTTTATTTGCTATTTCATTTATTTCGCTGCATGAACTTTAAAAATAACGTAAATAATTCTTGTCTCGACAATGTTTGCTTTTAATTTACAATTTAGTTTATAAACTTTTTGGAAACCTGAAAACGTAGGATTACCAATTTTTCCTTATCCAAAATCTGGCAATTTTTGGGCGAGCTTCAAAAAGAAAATAAAAACATCCCCAGGAATCAACTTATGCATTTTACTGTTTTAAATCAATAACAAAAGATTTATACGGTATAACAAAGGAAGTACATCTATTTTTTTCCACACTCGAGCGTAGAAAATACCTGAATATAAATTTGTTTTCTTAGTGAGTCACGTTACGAAGTGAAGGTAGATAAATTTACTTCACTTTTCTATGTCTTAGACAAAATTATTCAAAAACGCATTGTTAAATATAACATCAGCGTAATGTTACGAACATATTTGCGAAGTTCAAAGTCATAAAATTTACAATGAGCATAAAACAGAACTTTTATTGTTGCGAATAATGTTTAAGTTGTCTTTTTTTTAAATAAAATAAAATAAAATAAATATTAATGGTCTTTAAATTTTGAAACTGTCATAAAAACGTTTATTTTATGCTGAAAGAGTCAGAATTGATGGCAGTGTTAGTCTTTATTTCCTACTTAACGGAATAGCTTCATTCGAGTGCTTTAAATTTCTCTTGCACGAAAATATGTATGAAAATTACGATGTCTGAATTACTTTTCAGTAGTGCGATGCTCCTATTGCGTTATCGCAAATCATGTGACCGTCATGTGATTGCACATTTCGCAAATCATGTGACCGTCATGTGATTGATGTCATGTGACTTAGTTCATAAAAAGTTCGGCATCACTGTACAACAAACTGTGATTTTGTTTCAGGGCCATTTTTTTTTTATTTTATCAGTTACGACTGTCAATGTTCAACTTCGTAGCCTTGTACTTTCGAACCAATTCCAGAAGAACCAATCACAGGGATTAGTACAAACTATCCTTCTTTGAAAATTTTTTTAATGGAACTAAACCGCATTTGTGTAAGGTGGGAAGAATAACCACTATAGCCCGATGGCAAATGAATTCTAACCACGATTTGTCAACATCTGAGGATATTTTACAACAGCACTGTGATTGGTGTGAGCCAGTAGCATAATTCGTATGAGCCAGCCATCGCTGGGATTCGAACTTGTGACACTACAATGGGAGATGAACAAGATTGGAGAGGAGTGTGCGAGCAGCAAAATTTTAAATTTTACTACTAGCAAAGTGCCATTTTACTAAGCATGTGTTCATAATTTTATTTTTAAAATCAGTTGAATAAAAATTTCTTAGATAATATATACGGTAGACACTCTGTAAACGTCAAGCAAAAATAAGAAGCTTGTAATTGCTTTTTTTTGCTTCTAATGGGGAGTCCAAAATTGGCGAAAATACACTCACGCAATATTTGAACGTTTCAAAATGCATAGAATTTAAATATAACTTTCATCGGAAGTTGAGTGTGATATTTTATATGTTTGCTTAACCCCTTGGGGACGGGTGACTCATAAAAGCCTTCGTACAAAATCAGAATCAAAATGTAAATAAATAAAAAACGGTAACTTAAATGTAGGCGTTGCTAATTTGACAGACTTACTTTGCTTTTACTTTAATTATAGTTAGTTTAATCATATATATAATCAATGCTAGCTCAAAATATAACTAAATAATTTTATTTTGAACTAAATAATGGTGAATTAAATGAATCAAACTATTATAACAAATAAACTGTCAAAGAATTACTTTGATTACCAGTTTTATCTTTTTACCCTGATTGATACGGTTGAATTCTGGCACGTATTTGTGACAGTCGGAGCGAAAGGGTTAAACTACTCACATATAGTGGAGGATAAAATTCTTCTAATTTTAACGTATACAAATATTACTAAATTAGCTTGCTACCACTAAAAAAGATATTTTCTAAAACTACGAAAAGTGGAGTATGATACAGTTAATAATTCGTAGATATATATTTTACCCTTCCCTAAAATAATCTTAAAATGAAAGGAGTTGACTCAATATTTTCTCTTTTCAAAATGAGCTAAAACAACCAACTCCCTTTTAAATAATGTTAAATGCATTTCAATCGTAATGATTAATTATATCCTATCTTTTAACAGCAACAAAAATGCGACAAGTGTTACCTTGAACCTATTCCAGAATCGATTTCGATTCCCCAAAATATGTCGAAATATTATTGTTTTTGGAATGCGCGACTATCTCTTCCTTTTTTGATAGTTCTGTAGAATATGAATGGCCTTGAAACATTTCTTATTTTTTCTTCTGCAGCCCTTTATTTCAATGGATTCGAATGGGTGGACGGAGGAAGAAGACTGTCTAAAGCGCACATACCGTTGGACGAGAGACGGAAATCATCCATCAGTCGTTTTTCCATAGACAATCATGCATTCAACAATACAGGTACAATTAAATCTCCTAGACGCTTACCTCCACAAAATAATACAAATGAGTTCTTTTTCTTATGAAAAAAAAATTTGAAAAAAGGAGGAGAAGAAGAAAACATTATCGAAAGCAAAAATATTTCTTATCTTTCTTTTTAATCAGGGGAGGATCCAGAAATTTTTCCTGGGGGGGGGTCATAGACTCAGATCCCCCCCCCCCACAATTAATTTTTTTTATAAAAAAAAAATGTCTTTAATATTTTTTTTGAAAAAAAAACGGGTTTTTAAAGCTAGTCTTCTCATAAATTTTTTTCATAATGAACAATAGAACAATATATAAATAATTCAAGTATTCAAAATCTTTAAATAATAAATGTTATCTTTAAATAATAATGTAAATTTCGCAAGTTTCCCATCTTCACATTTATTCAATCTTGGTTAAACCTGTTGAAGTGCGTTTGGAGCGCTCGGCGCACTTCAACATGTTTACAATGAAACTATGACGAATTTCGTTTTAATCTTTTGGATTATGATTCTTGAAACAGTGAAGAACATAATTAGTTGGGAAAAAAATCGATTTTTCCGACCTACCTAGGTGTATATGCTCCCTTAAATAATTTTTAAAATATTTTATTTATTTTGTAAACTATTAAAAAAATTATTATTTTTATTTATTTTTTTCAATTGGGGGGTCATGACCCCCCCCCCGCTGTATCTGTCACTTTTTTTAATCAAAAGCATTTTCTTTTTTTTTTGCCAGTAAATATTTTTCAGATTACACTTATAGTTAACCTTATTCAAAATTGCCCCTATGAAAGCTAATCGAAGAAGGCGGTAGCAGGTAGAATTCGTAATAAAACTTCCGAGTTACAACTTCTGATTTATTTTTACATCTAAGCTTAAAAACAGTGGGGGCGTAAGTAACAACCCAGCAAACCCAGCGACCCAGGGGGACTAACGGCGCGCTCCATTTAAAATTATATGTTAAAGTAAAAATATTTTTGATTTATGAAATATTTTTTTTCTCACTTCATAAGTAACTAAACTAAAATTATATCTCGTAACTAAAATTTGAATATAATTACTATAAGATCGAAAGTTATTTTCTCGTATTATTAAACAAAATTTCATTTCAATATGATAAACGTATACAGTGTTTCGATTTTAGGTCCTTAATTCTACCTTTTCATTGCAATTACTATTTTCATTTTCGTAAATTAAAATAGAATTAGAGATTCTAATTATCTAAATATTTCTTCACCACAGTGTTTTTTGTTTTATAATTTAATTTAATTTTATATTTTTTATGGTACGTCTAAGGTGGGACGCACTTATAACTCTTGCTGGACGCATTCTTGTAACTATTTTCCAATCCAGCGGCTTTTAACGACTTCTGTTTGGCATTTTCTTAAATCAAAAAAAAAATTTGTTTTTTGTTTTTGTTTTTTTTTTAATTTAGGTAACGAATTTTAAAGGACATAAAAGCTTGCATTATAATTGCGATAAACTCCATCCAAAAGAAAAATATCCAAAAAAAGAGTGTGAGTCGTTAAGGGCTGCTGGATTGTAAATTAGCTACGGGGAGGGGGACAAAATCTATGTACGCTAATGCTTCAAAAAAAAACACATCTCGTTGTGATAGTGCTTGTATTATTTACAATCTTACCTGTGTTATTTATGCTACAATTTGTAAATCCATTTTTATATTCAGTTTGTAAAGATGAAAACATAAAAAACTGAAGATAACACTAAAAACGTGGCAACTTTTTATTACTATTATTGCATTTACGATAAAATGTTTGTGCAAAAGAAAATTAATTTTTTTAGAAAAGTCCTAATTATTTACCTTTGTGAAGTATACTAATCAGATGTGAAACAAACTGCTTCACTTAGTATTTTAGAGTAGTGAATACACGTTGTTCATGGGGAGGGAGGAATGAATAATAAGTCAGTATTAATCAACACTACGAAATCATGCTTTGGGGGTCCATTACAAATGGTTTCGTAAATTTTTATTTAAACAAGGAAAAAACAGAAACGCTGTAAAAATCTGACCAGATACAGTAAAGAACGGCAAATGTATTGAACATCAAAGCAGGTTTCAAAGGTTAGAATTCAGAAGTGTTTTCAGTAATAATCGTTACTTGTTTAATTTTAATCTTTAAGGAAAGAACCTGTATAAACTTATCTACGGGAGAAATAGAACGATGTAGAGCGAACGAACATAGTACAGTTTGCTGTATCCTTCGTGGCAAACTAGAAAATTTTTCCCACCAAATTGCAAAAAAAAACATTTTAAAAGATATTTAATTGATGGCGCTAATGTCTTGGAAAAATTGTAAAAGGATTTAAAATTTTAATCTTTAAGGAAAAAACCTGTATAAACTTATCTACGGGAGAAATAGAACGATGTAGAGCGAACGAACATAGTACAGTTTGCTGTATTCTTCGTGGCAAACCAGAAAATTTTTCTCACCAAATTGCAAAAAAAAACATTTTAAAAGATATTCAATAGATGGCGCTAATGTCTAGGAAAAATTGTAAAAGGATTTAAAATTTTAATCTTTAAGTAAAACCTGTATAAACTTATCTACGGGAGAAATAGAACGATGTAGAGCGAACGAACATAGTACAGTTTGCTGTATTCTTAGTGGCAAACTAGAAAATTTTTCTCACCAAATTGCAAAAAAAAAACATTTTAAAAGATATTCAATAGATGGTGCTAATGTCTATGAAAAATTGTAAAAGGATTTAAAATTTTTATCTTTAAGGAAAAAACCTGTATAAACTTATCTACGGGAGAAATAGAACGATGTAGAGCAAACGAACATAATACAGTTTGCTGTATTCTTCGTGGCAAACTAGAAAATTTTTCTCACCAAATTGCAAAAAAAAACATTTTAAAAGATATTCAATAGATGGCGTTAATGTCTAGGAAAAATTGTAAAAGGATTTAAAATTTTTATCTTTAAGGAAAAAACCTGTATAAACTTATCACGGGAGAAATAGAACGATGTAGAACAAACGAACATAATACAGTTTGCTGTATTCTTCGTGGCAAACTAGAAAATTTTTCTCACCAAATTGCAAAAAAAAACATTTTAAAAGATATTCAATAGATGGCGCTAATGTCTAGGAAAAATTGTAAAAGGATTTAAATTTTTAATCTTTAAGGAAAAAACCTGTACAAACTTATCTACGGGAGAAATAGAAAGATGTAGAGCGAACGAACATAGTACAGTTTGCTATATTCTTCGTGGCAAACTAAAAAAATTTTCTCACCAAATTGCAAAAAAAAAACATTTTAAAAGATATTCAATAGATGGCGCTAATGTCTAGGAAAAATTGTAAAAGGATTTAAAATTTTAATCTTTAAGGAAAAAACCTGTATAAACTTATCTACGGGAGAAATAGAACGATGTAGAGCAAACGAACATAGTACAGTGTGCTGTATTCTTCGTGGCAAACCAGAAAATTTTTCTCACCAAATTACAAAAAAAAAACATTTTAAAAGATATTCAATAGATGGCGCTAATGTCTAGGAAAAATTGTAAAAGGATTTAAAATTTTAATCTTTAAGGAAAAAACCTGTATAAACTTATCTACGGGAGAAATAGAACGATGTAGAGCGAACGAACATAGTACAGTTTGCTGTATTCTTCGTGGCAAACTAGAAATTTTTCTCACCAAACTGCAAAAAAAACATTTTAAAAGATATTCAATAGATGGCGCTAATGTCTAGGAAAAATTGTAAAAGGATTTGAAATTTTAGTCTTTAAGGAAAAAACCTGTATAAACTTATCTACGGGAGAAGTAGAAAGATGTAGAGCGAACGAACATAGTACAGTTTGCTGTATTCTTCGTGGCAAACTAGAAAATTTTTCTCACCAAATTGCAAAAAAAAAACATTTTAAAAGATATTCAATAGATGGCGCTAATGTCTAGGAAAAATTCTAAGAGGATTTAAATGATATGAATAGTTTTTCAAAGTGTTAGCAAATTTGAAAAAGAGTATAGAAATTTATTATAATTTTGCATATTTACCGAAACAGTTTAATAGATATATATTAGTATTCGGCAATTTATTTGACGTTATTATTATCCAGAAAACGCGAATTTTTCATCTTCTTTCCTTAAAAATTTTATTAGAAATTCTTTCAACATATTTTAAAAAGAATTTTATTTAAAATGAACATAATGTCTGAAAAATTAACTCAAACTATATTAACTCGATTTTTATAAGTTACACCCAATGTTTTATTTCTTTCTTTTTCGTGCAAAACCAATGAAAAGTTGTTGTTTTTTAATTTTTTGAAATTTCTTTATTTTATATATTTTTTCTTTTAAAATTCATCAAGTCTTTCAGAAAAATTGCGCAATTTTCTTATTTTTGTAAATTTAGTACTGACAGTAAAACTCGATATGTATTGTATTGCGGTTATATAACCGCTATACAAATACGTGTCAAGTTTGGTTAATTTGTACACCGGCTACAGAAAGAATGCTTAGATAAATATGCTTATCTCTAATATGCTATTATGAATACAACTGATAAAAAGAAACGACTGATAAAAAAAAAATGTTAGTGTTAGAATAGCTATCATATTACGGCTAAAACTAATAGTATGAATTAAGTTACATTACAGTACCTTTCACATGAGTTAAACTTACATTCAATTGAGTCATTACCTTTTCTATTGCTTTTACTTTTTAATACATAACTTATATTTCTTTATTCCAATTAGTAATGCTTTAAAATTATTTAGCTGTGTGGAAACATCTTTTAAAACGCAATTATAACAAAATATACACGTATGATTTCACATAACTTTAGAAATACTAATTCAGTAATGTAGAACCGATTCACATACCATCCAAATTGATCACTGAGCTTGTAAAAATAATTAAACATTAAAGAACATGCAATAAAATCCAGAACAGAGTCATCTACAGTATTATTTATAACTATGGCTTATGTTGAACCAATGCGAAAAAAATAATTTTTCCGACATCCTTCACGAACTGGCTTATTAAAATTCTAAAACTAAATTTAGGATAAGGATTAAAATTGATCCTTGTAGTCGATGTTTGAATTTCAGAGCTCTAGCATGATTCTGGAGTCATAAGAGATTCGAAAAAGCGTTTCGACGCAGTGAACAGACAAAAATACCGAGTAAAAAAAAGCAAATGAAAAGTTGAAAAAGAATAAATAACACATAAACAAGCATACTAGAGGCATTTTCACTATTTAAGAATTTTGTATTTGTAGACTTTAAAAGCTTATCAATCAATTAAAAAAAATTGAGCAGCTCTAATAATATTTGTTTAAATAAAATCTTAAGAGTCATGCACTCAAAATTTTAGAAACTGTCAAAAATGTAATTTTTTTTCAAAAATTAAATTCCAGTTGTAACGGACGTAACACACTATGCTACTTCCCCGTAACACCCAGTTTTTAATTTTTAAGCTAATGATACTTACTAACAATTGAATATGATTTTAAGACTTTTATTAAAAAATATTTTAAGAATTAATTGAAGTTTTTAGCCTATTTATATGCATTTAAAATATGTGAACATAACATTTCTAAATGGTGGAATTGCCCTATAGTTCTGGTTCTATAATTGACTTAACAGCATTCAAACATGTGATGAAGATAAATAGCCGAAACTATAGTATATTTGTTTATGGGGTATTATTTCTGCATTTTTCATGTTGTTTAGCTAAAAACCAATTTGTTCGAAACCCATCCATTCTTCCCCTGTCTCAAAATAAATAATTCTTTCGAGAAAAAGCATAAAAAATTTAATCCATTTTCGAATAATATTTATGATGAATTTAAAGAATTTTTTCCCCCAGATAGTTGCCTGTCATTAGAAAGCAATAGTGTATTTAAAGAATTTTTCCCCCAGGAAGTTGCCTGTCATTAGAAAGCAATGGTGTATTTAAAGAATTGTTTCCTCCAGGAAGTTGCCAGTCATTAGAAAGCAATGGTGTATCTTCCACAGAAAGATTGGCAGCCTTACCAAATGTCATCGACAAAGGTGAATTTTGGGAGTTTCTCCTAAAAATATGTCCTGTGAACACTGAAAAATGGTCATCCTTACCATGGTGGAGAAAGTTGTTAGTAGTCATAAAAGTAAGTTGTCTCCTTCATACGCATTATGTACAGTGAGCCCAAAAAAAAAAAAAAAAAAAAAAAAAAAAAAAAANAAAAAAAAAAAAAAAAAAAAAAAAAAAAAAAAAGCGAACTATCCAGAATAACTTTTGATCTAATGATAGGATCTTTACGTTCTTATAGAACTCAATCTCAATGGTTCAAGAGGGTAACCTCAAATATGCTAATTAATTTGGGAGACGATATTTTAAGTTACGAAATCATATACAAAAACGCTCTTTCTCTGAATAAACATGACTTTATTTCGAGAGGTTTCTGACCCCCAAAATATAGGGGTAGCCGCAATCTGGGAAATATGGTCTTAATTGTTTGGTCAACAGAGCGGTCCAAAGCTCGTAAAAACAGAATGTTTTTACGAATTTCGCCATATCTCGAGAACTTTTTAAACGAATTGAAAATTTTTGCACACAAAATTCGTTTATCAAAAGATAATTCCATGCAAAAAAAATAGCAAATATTTATTTTTTATTATTTCATTTCATAATAGTCGAAAAACTTTAGAATTGCAAAGTATAGATTTTTATATCATTTTAAGGTATGTATTTTTACATTTCAAAATTTTGAGTGAAATTGGTTGAATAGTTCCTGAGAAATCAAATTTTAACTATACAACTTTCTTAAAATTTGATTTCTCAGAAACTATTCAACCCATTGGGCTTACATTTTGTATTTTGCTATGTAAAAATACACTCTTTAAAATGATGAATTCAAAAATTTTTTTGGTTACTAAGTAAACTAATGAAAATAATAAATATTTTTTTTGCATGAAATTATTATTTGATGAACGATTTTTATAATTATATGCAAAAAGTTTTCAATTCGCTTAAAAAGATCTCCAGATATGGAAAAATACGCAAAAAGTAAAATTAACCTTAAGGTGTCCAATCTTTGAACTGCTTTCTTGCCCAAACTATAGGGGCCATACCTCCCAGATTGCGGCTTCCTACTATATTTCTGAAATCAGAAATCCAAATCCATCGGGGGGGGGGGAGTATGCTTGTTCACAGAAAGTACGTTTTTGCGTCTAATTTTGAAATTTAAATAATCGCCTGCACTAATTATTAAATATATTTGAGATCACTGGCTCGAATAAAAAAACATATTCAGGGTGTTATTCATAAACAAATTATTCAGGTTGGTCCTTTTATGTGCACTGTGTACATACATGCGTTACTGTGAAAAACCGAATTTGGTGATTATTGACTTTCACTCCCTTAGATGTATTAATTGAATTCCTCTCCAAACATTGAAATTAGTTGTTCTTACATTTAAAACATGCAAGAACAACAATATCCTTTCATTAAAATACATATTGACTGAAATTTTCAGGCTATTGAATATTTAAATTGAAAATTTTTGTATCATTAGCCCTAGATATGTTATCAGTTATTTTTGGAAATTTGTGACCTCAAAACCCGTTCTAGACTTTCTTTTCTATTATTTATTTTTCTACGAAATAACTTGTTTGGAATTTCGAAATAACTTATTAAATCTTCATTCAAAAAGATGTTTTCTTGGAAGAATATTTCGAGTAATGATGCTGAAGACAAATCAAAATTCTTTAACCTTGGATTTAAACTTTCGATCTATCAATAATTCTTGGAAAGAAGTAACAGCTGATAGCTATTTCTTTTTTTTATCTTCCTTGTTTTAATCAATAGTATTGAGTTCTTTCATTTATATTTCTTAAATTTCGAAGAAATTCTTTTCAAAGATATTATTCTAACGCATTGAATTACTCTGTATAGAAATGTTTTTCTTTTATTTATTATTATAATAGTTGAAGAATTTGGCTCTTTACAAATGTCGCCAACATAGCAAAATGTAATAGGTTGATTAATAAGGCTTTTAGTATTATCCAATCTGTCAGATATTTTTTTGGTTTTTTATGACTAGCCTATATACATTTAAGCTAACTTAAAAATGTAGGAAAAAATATTTTATCAGGCTAGATTCTCTCTGGATTCTTTAAAATAAGTCATCTATATTCTAAACTCATTGTAGAGTGCCTAAAATAAATTAAAGTAACTGAAAATCTTAAAATATCGTTCCTAATCAGCCTGAAAGCTCACCAATTAGCCTTAAAAGTGTCAATCTAGAGACATTTCCAATTTACCTGTAGCAATCCAAATAGCCGGCTTATTCAACTACCTACGACAGTGGCATCATTTTGTTTTTCAGCTACTTATGACATCACAATTTAAAAGCTAAATGACGTTTTTTTTTGTTGTTTTTTTTTTGTTTTTATTGTAATTTTTCAATTTTTCTCGTTATTATTTTGAACTGTTACGATCTTTTTACGATGACGGTGCAGGGGTTGGAAAAAATAATTTAAACATTTCCTTACTAATTGATCTTTCTCAAAAAATACCTAGAGAATCATTTTATAAATTAAGAAGTACTTAGGGCATGCGATTTTTCATTCTTATCAATGAAGTTTAAGGCTTTTAGAAGTTTGAGGGACCGACAATAAATTACAAACGTAAAATAGTGTTTCAGAACATCCTATGACAAAACATGTAGCAATAATTTTTTTAACTTTTAACAATTACTTTGATTATTATATGTGATAATTTCACGAAATTTCGTAAAATTAACAAGATTTAAAAAGATTTATTAAAAATAACACCGGCATTGCTGGGGATCATCCCTATAAACGTATCTTTTCTTTCGAATGTTTTCTTTCCTTATGCAATCATAATTCGGTGTATGAACGTTTATTGTAAGGTATTATCATTTGTTATTGAATTTTGTCTTATAATACAAAATAATATAAGTAGAAAATCCCTTATTATTTTGAGTTTCCTTTAAAAAGTGCGAAAACTACTTAGAAAATTGCTGTGGGAACTTTTTAAATTTTTAAGATATTCAAATCGGACTTGACTTTTTACAAATACGATTCACTACAAAATTAAGGAAAATTTTTAGTTTTTCCACGCATGCACAGTATAAAAGAACTACTTTAATTACTTATATATTACGCATTTTTCAACGAATTATTTTTAAAAAAATTTTATTCAAATTTAAATTGCTCTAAAAAATTTTTTTAATTTTATTGAATATTTTTAAAGTTATAGCAAAAAAAAACGTAAGGCAAAAATATTAGTTCTGTATAAAAATGTCCATAATTCCATAAATATTTAAGCTATGCTTCAAATTTCGCGCACTTATTGCATACAATAGCCAAAATAAAATAAAAATTTCTTGCTGCATTTTTCGGCAAAAGGTGCTCAAAAACTCTATTTTCCATTTGTACTTTATTGTCGGTCTCTCAAACCTCTAAAATCCTTCAACTTCCTTAATAAGTATGAGATATCGCGTGATCTAAACCAGTGGTTTCCAACTGGCGGCCCGGGGGCCGCATCCGGCCAGCGAATCTTTTTTTTGTGGCCCGCGAACTAAAATATATTAGTTGTCATTTTTTGCGGACAATTTTCGTAAAAAATCTGTATGGGTTCAAAATACTTTTCTCGTTAATAAAAACCTAGTTTCTTCGTTTCTGTAAAATTTAACATATCAACGGTGCAAAAAAATTTATTTCTCACGTTTTGCATCCAAGAAAATATTTATTCAAATACAAAAATAATTGTGTATTGCTCTTCTTTTATTTCATTTTTTTGTATTTTGTGAATATAATTTAGCATGTGTGTATCATAAATTTTCTTGAAGAAATTCTCCGATTTAACTTTCTGAAACCACTCATTTTGGACAAAAATATTTAGACACATTTGTCAGTTTTAAATTTAAAATGTAAATATCTATTCTCTGGTGGTTGTAGGAAACAAACCTCAATTTTCTCACTTTACAATTTGTGTGCTACTATGTAAGTTTTAACACCAACCTTTACAGCAAGTTTTAAATCTTAACAAATAGATATCTGTTGCACATTAATTGTTTAATACATAGGTGCACATTAAAGTTATTGTAGCCCGAATTTTTCAATATGCAATTAAATATTTTTAAAAATCTACTTCTTATTTTAATTTGTAATTCAATACTTTTATTTTGTACAACTTGATATAAAAATCTGACAGTAATATTTAATGTTCCTTCAAACATAAAAGAGTCCTACATAAAATTTTGCTAAAATTGCGGCCCGCCATTTGATTTGTGATGTTAATTGTGGCCCCCGCCCTCATGTAAGTTGGAAACCCCTGATCTAAACAATCCAGAAGTTATAAAAGGATTCTTTAAGTATTTTTCAGAAATATGAAACAAAGTACTAGTATAGAAATGTTTCCACTATTTTGTTCACCCCCAGTATATGTCCACCACTTTTTTCATAAAGGCACTTTTATATATTTACAATATTTTTGGTTCGCATTAAGGAGCCTCCCAGACCAAGTGGTTTCTCGAATCCATTAAAGAGTCAGGTAAGCGGACATAGCAGGTTCGAAACCCGTCATAATTCTTGATACATCTGTGATGTCCTTCTCTAATTTGTACTATCTGTTTCCCAACATGGCAAGGCCTTATAAGCCGTCTTTATAATGAGCACACAAGCTTTTATGTGTATGTTTAAGAATAAAGTCTGGCGTTTAAAACCTCGCTGCATTGTTAATGCTCTTGCAACGATGTTGTTCCATTATATTAACTATCCCAGATAACATTAAACGTTTTATAATTTATGGACTTATATTGCAGATTCCACCAATATTCGTCATGCGACTGACCATCCCTGTCTTGGACACTGGTGCAGACGACATGAATTGGAATAGACTTTTAACCTGTGTCCAATGCGTCACCGGTCCAGTTTTTATAACTTTAATAAGCGAATGTAAGTATATTTTTTATAGTTAAAGGGCCGCTCACATAAATGATGTCACACTTGTTTTTTTCAATATTTTAAAATCCTCCCCTCTCCTTTGTCATAAAACGTCACACTTCACTATACCATCTGCCTCTTCACCTTGCCATACGTCATGCTATATTGCAAGGGGTGATCAAATGAAAAGGTACGAAACGACGTAAAAACGTAACAGTTAAATATTTGCATATTCCGCTATGGGAGAACGTAGCGAGACATCTCGGGATGCGATTAGAGTCTCTGACTGGGATCGGAGCATGCGCTGGTGCCCGCATGAGCAAGAGAGAGCAGAGGCTCTTATCAAAAGCGGCGTCCAAATGATGCGGCAGTCCGTATGAGGACTGGATGGCGTTCGCGTTGCAAAATTCGACGATTGATGAGCAGCGAGGTGTTATCCGATTTCCTCGAGCACAGAAAAACCATTAACTCCGATGTGTACTGTGAGGCACTCTGACGCCTACGCAGGTTCATCAAGAACAAAAGACCGGGGCTGCTCACGGAGGGTGTGGTTCTTCTCCATGATAAAGAGCGTCCACACGTCTCCAGACTCACACACATGGAACTGGCCAAGTTCAAGTGGGAGACGTTGGACCATCCGCCCTACAATCCGGACTAGTAGCCCTGTGATTTCCATGTGTTTACTCCACCTGAAAGGAAAGCTCTTCAACTCGGACGACATACTCAAGGACGCTGTGAAGGACTGGGTCTCGTCAAGACCACAGGAATTCTGGGAACAAGGAATCCTGCGTCTTGTTCATCAGTGGGATCGCTGTGCACAGGCCTATGGTGTATATTTTGAATAAAGTCTACATTTGTACCCACCGTGGCGTTTCGTACCTTTTCATTTGATCACCCCTTGTACTTAAACACATGCTTACAATTCAGATACAAAATATATATTCTCTTGATTATCTTTAACTATACATTTTAACGACATTTTTATATACTAATTCTCTTTAGATGAGTTTTACATGATAAGAGACGTATTTCCTGTCATCGTACTGGTTCTTTGTATTTGCATAGGCTGTGCACTTCTAGTATATTTTACTTCAGAACGAGATTTTCCTCCCAATTACCACTGGATCTTTGCTTACTCGGGATTCATTGTTGCTGTGATGTGGACATATTGCTTGGCAAACGAAATTGTTGCAGTGTTGCAGGTATAAACTTTTCATTTTTAGCTACCGACCCACTTTTGAGTTTATAAGTACTAATGTTCATCACGCTAGCCTTGTAATTTTAAACCCAATCCTTATTAATCCCCAACTCCTGGATCAAGTATTGGGAGGAATTTGCCTTCATGGAACTTTTTGATATAACTAACCCGTATTTCCGTTACAAGCAGAGAAAACCATGAAAACTTCTCATTGTTAGCCTGATCGTTAGGGGACTCTAACCCATGATCCGTCTACCACTGAGGATATTTTACGTCAGCACTGTGGTCGGTGCGAACAGGTTGTGGAATTGAACTTAATGACATTTGACAAATTTAGTTTTTAACAAGTCATTGAACATTTTATACCATTCCAAAAGATTAAAACTTCCTCTCACGTCATAAAAATAATCATTTATAAATACTTAAGTAGAAAAGCTTAAAAAACAACAACAAAAAAAAGCTAGGTAGTAAGAATTCCAAATTTTAGTTGGAAATAAAGCCAAGAATAATTTGAATTAAAAGCCTTCTAGTAGAGTCCTAAAAGTAGGCAACTCAGACTATTTATAAAGGGAACTAGTTAACAGGGGAATCTTGAACTATCTTTATAGAACATGTAACAACAAGAAAAATTAAGGTAGTAAAATAAAAATTTTGAAATCGGACAAACAAAAAAAATTAAATTTTCTTACAGATTTTGAAGTTATGAATTCCAATACGTTATTCGTTTTGAGGCCACTTGAATAGTCCCTAAATAGTTCTCCAAAAAGCATTCTGTGCTTCTAAACAAGAAGAAAAAGATTACTGCCATCGGTGGAGCCGTCAGAAAGCACTTGCATTACTTACACGACCGTTGGGGCCGGGATAGTCTAGTCGGTAGGGCGCTGGGCCCATGTCCGTGAGTTCGTGGGTTCGAACCCCGCCGACCGAAGATTCCCCGTGTAGTAAAGTGATTGATGCACGTTAAATCTGTCGAGTCACAAAAGTCCTCCATGTTCCCATAACAAATCAATACCTATGGGGGTACTGGATTGGAGATCGATCGTTCTCTGATTCAGGTCAAAATTACGATCTGTGGATGGATGAATGGATGTATGAATGTGTCAGCCCTATAAACGGGTGTGACGTATGGTGTGGCAGAAGTCGAATTCTTAGCCATAGATGGCGCCACTGGAAAACAAGAACGATCGCACCCCCTCTGCCTAAAACAGGCATACGTCAACAACAAGACGATCGTTGAGGAAATTCTTAATAATAGCAAGTTTTAAGTTTCAATGTGTACATAATGGTTTTGAAAAAATTTCGAAAACAATTTTGTTACCCACAAAGACAAATCAGCTATTCAAAAATTAGTATACAAAATCTTTTATTCAAACAGGTAAGCTTTTAAATGTTGATGAAGTATCCAATTCTTGAAATATCCTTAGTACTTTAATTATTATTTTAATAATCTAGAAGGTTCCTTATTCGCTTCCTTTAATGAATCCGCATGGTTGCATCCTCATTCAGCATTGCTTTTTTCCTCCTTAAGAGTCGATTAAAAAAGAATCATTTTGTTCATTAAATATACAACTATCATAATTTTATGTAAACACATCTTGTTCATGTGTTAATCATAAAGATATGAAAGAATACCTGGCTTTGATCGACTGTACATGAAAGAAAAAATATTTATACTTAAGAATACACAATAAACACAATAAAAAATAATGAATGAGAAGTAATTTTGCTTGTTAACTATGTATAATGATAACTTTATGTCATAGACCAGTAAGAATTAGAAATGGTTTTTATCTCTTTCTAGCCTTTTTTTATTAGAAAAATTTCGAAGATTCATATCTGGCACAGCTTATCGTTCACTTATTATTATTTTTTTTTTACATTAATTCATTTTTTCATTTATTTAATTCGAACTCTGGCTTATAAAAGAAAAATTAAACAGGGTAAAATTTTTCTACAACAATAACGGATTATTAGTTATTATTTAAAGCAAAAAACTAAGAAAAAATTGAAAAAAAGGACTAAAATTTCAGTAACTTTCGAATAAATGGGAATTTAAAAAAAAAAATCGAGTTAAATTAATAAAAAAAAGGCCTTTCCAGCACATCAAATTTCTATAGTATTTCTACGAACTGCAGAACGCTTCATATGTTTTTTTTTCTTACTTCAAATTAAACCGTTAATAGTTCATGTTATAGAATATTAATTTTTGTTATAATCGTTTTCTTTCTTTTTTTTTTTTTTTTATGCATTTTTCTACACACCCTCTTAATTTCAAGCGTCTAAGTCTTATAGCTTTTGTGTAACAAGACAAAGTGTAAAACAATGCAAAAAAAGTAGGGGGACGCGAAAAAAGCAGTAAAAATTGCATCAATTTTTGCAATAAATTGAACGACATAGAGTTTCAAAAAAATATCGAGCTAGGTTCAACCGCCCCTTGTTTAGCCCAGTTCATGGTTCTTTCAACATGCAAAATTCTAAGTCTGTGGCTGCATTCCTGAGGCCTGCAAAGCTGTCTGCTTTGTATTTTTGTTACAAGTTTAACAGTTAATAATTCTGAAACTAAATAACAAATGTTAATTTTTATTTCATTAATACCCCCTGGACATTTTTCTACACAACTTTGCAATTTCAAATTTCTAAGTCTTATAGCTTCTGTGCATCAAACCAAAATGCAACATTAAGTGAACACCCAAAACAGCCCCGGAAGTGGCCCTTTTTTTAATATTTTTGTTTGTTGTTTTGAAACTATTTTTTAATTTTTGCAGTATTTTTAGGGTTCACTTTTTTAAAAATTTTAAAATATTTATAAAGGACCCCATACAAATCTTATAGAAATTAATTCCAACACATGGACTGAAAATTCAAAATCTTAATAGTTCAAAATATTCTGCTCGAAAATTTTCATTGACTAAAAGCTCAAAAACAGATAGTGTCCAAGCAGAGCCGGATTATACCTTTCGTAGACCCTAGGCATAGTCGTTTTTGGGCCCTCCCCTCCTTCCCCCACTCCTCCCCTCTTTTAAAAATATATGCTAAAATTTTCTTGCATATTTTTTTTTTTTACATTTTTATTAATATGGATTTTAATTTATGAATTTGTTTATCGAACTTTATCTGCAATACCGATATACTGCCGATATTGCAGTTGATATCGATAATACCATTATGATTAGTTCGATCGATAACTATGTAAACCAGCGGTTCTCAACCTTTCAGTATTCGCGGCCCAGTTTTCAATCATAATTTTCATCGCGCCCCCCACTTACAGTAAAATGTATACAACAATAATGTATATTGAGTATTTTGAATTCTGTCTTTAAAATATTTTTAACTAACTGCCAAAACAAAAGTAAAGTAAAAGCCAGCAGCAATTGAGATTGCAGAAACTATGTTTGGAGTTAATTTTTCAAAAGAATTACCGTCCTCTTTCAAACGATACTGTTGCTCCTCGAATTGGTGATACAGCTGAAAATGTAGTTTCAGCTTTTCTCGATGTTGCGTGACAAAATGTTTTCAATACAGTTTGATGAAGCATAATAAAGATGCTCATTTAATTGTCTATGTTTGATTTTGTGATAATATGTCAGTAGTAAAACTACTTTTCTGCAAATCAA